CTGCACTGCTGGAAATGCAGACGCCCAGGCCTCACCTCGTGGCCAGGCTCCAAATCCTGCCTTCCACACCTGCTCCAGGGCAATGAAGTTTCTCCATCTCATCCGCATTCTGGAGGCTTGCAAAGTATTCCCTCATTTAGATGTGCCCATGTCCCCATGGTCCCTCTGTCCAAGAGAAAGCAGCACACGTGCACCGGAAGACATATACAAAAATGCTCATTGCAGCTTTGCCTTATTCTTACCCGCCAAATAGTGATCAACTCTGAAATGGATAAATTTGATACAGTACACAACAGAACCCTACTGGACAACAAAGATGAGCAAATTAATAATATATGTAACAATATGAATGAATTTCACAGGCACATGAGGAACAAACAAAGCTAGGCACAAAAGAGAATATCCTGTAAGATTCAATTTATGGAAGTTCAAGGCTATGCCCCAAATGACAGAAGTCAAATTTGTTCTCTCCAGGGCAGGGTGGAGGGTATTGCCTAGAAGGGGCAAGAAGAGCCTGCTAGGTGTTGCAAATATTCTTTGTCTTGATCTGAGCAGTTTATACACAAAAATTCTATGAGTTGTACGCAAAAGATCTGTGCATTTTACCATATGCACATTGTTCTGCAATATAATTATTCTTAATATTTTTTAAAAGCCCACCATTAACAAAACCAATTGGCCAAGGAGTAGTCCCGGGAGCCAGCCTCCTGGGGCACAGGGTTGGGCAGAGAAGGGCAGAGAACGGGCTGGGGTGGAAAATAATTAACATGATGCTCAGAAAGAGTTTGCTGAGTGGGTGTGGCAATCATTTACATTCCAGTATGAATAAGCTTATAGAATTTTTTTCCAACAGCTTTTCTGGAAGGCAATATGCAATATGCTCTTTGGTAAAGAACAGAACAAACTGAAAGGAATTCTTTGCCTTACTGACAATTCTGCTGAAGATGTTCTGGCTATATGCTCAGCAGTATTTGAATTATTAATGGTTTCTTCCCCCAGCTTGATAACCTTATCAATTCCATAAGACCTGATATTTGTTAGTGCTTGACTATCTACAGTATATTCAAAAATATTATCTCACTTAACCCTCATTGCAACCTATTCAAGGTTGGTAAAAAATACATATTATCAGGGATTATTAGACATAAAAAATTCAAGTTCAAAAAAGAAAAGAAAACTTGCCCACAGTCACAGAGCTTAAAAGAAGCAAGGCCATGGTTTGGATTCAGAGCACACAGTTTTATCCACACTGTTACAAAAAATTACAGAAATTGGCTTACGCATCTGTGTTCTTCAAGACACGTTCCCATAAGTGAATCAATTTCCACTTCAGGTGCTCACTTGTGGCCGGGGTTGAGGTTGGGCTGTCCATCACGGTCTCAGTTGTCATCTGGGTCACTCACACTGCTGGAGCACTGTGCCCGGCGCTGGGCCAGGCCGGCCCTTCCCCTCCAGAATCTGAGTCCCACACCCGCTATAAGACAGAGAGCCTGTTCCCTGTTACAGATGAGGATCTGCAGCTTGGATGGGTAAGTGACCTGTCTGAGGCCGCCCAGCTAGACAAAATAAACCCAGGCCAGAACAGAGGTGCTTGTGTGCCAGAGCGCGGGCTGTGCCATCATGAGGTAGGACTCAGGGCCGGGGCAGCGTCCACCTTCAGAGGAGGAGCTGAGCCCCCTGCGGCGACGCCCACAGACATCTGCCTGGAGCCTCGGGAAGGTCACACTCTGAGGCCCTTCCCTAAGAGTGTGGGTGTCAGGTGAACACCCTGCCTGCAGACTTTATAGGGGACCATGGCAACAACAAATGTTTGGTGAATCAAGTACAAAAAGCTGGGTTTCTAATCTTGGTAGTGTTAGGGTGGGAACTTGTAACTTGGGATGAGAAAGAATTCTCGACATAGAGATTAGAATAATTTTATTTTACTTCCCAAAGGGAGGGGAAGGACATGGCAAAGAGAAAGAAAGAAGCACCAGCAGGGAGGACAAGGGATTGGGGTTTTTATGGGGATAAAGAGAAAGGAAAAGACAAGGCGATTGCTGCCAGCTGCCTGCAGAAAACAGCGGTGCAGTGACTGCGTCTGTTTTTCCCTTTTTTCCTCTTCTCTGTGAGGCTGGCTTACCAGAGTCTCTGGAACGTGGCCTTGGAGAACTGAGAAAGCATCGGCTCCTTCTGTCTGCTCAGTTCCTTTCAAGTGCAGTGAAAACAGAACTCTTAGAGGGAAGAAACCACACAGGTGGTTAATCTCAAAGACAAAACGAGTTGAGTTGCACGTGGTTAATCAAACAAGACGCAAGGAGGGCCAGTTGTGCTGTGTTCTTTCCCTCCAAAGGGGCAATTATGTGCCCTGAGTGTTTTCCTTTTAGTTGTTGTTGTTAGTTTATTTTTCTCTGTGTTAGTTTATTAGCAAGGCCATCCTTTCAGGTAATACTGGAACAGAGCAGTTGCTGAATCCAGATGGATCAAATATGTTGAATGAGAAAGAAGTTTGTTTGTGTGACAGAGATGGGAATGTGCTGGAAGGTGCCCTCCCCACGCAGGCTAGGCACATGCGCCTCTTACCTGTTTTCTTCTTGGCCCTCTGTTTGCAGCCAGGTCCTTTGGAGCATAGGATGTGCCTGCCCCTTCCCCTTCCGCACATGCCCTCCTAGAGCAACACACCGAGGTTGCCCTCAGGGCAAGGAGGTGGCTAGCTGGTCTTCACCTCCAGCCCCACTGCTGAGTCTGCTCCAGTTCTCTGCTGAGCAGGCCCCAGGCCATGCGTCTCCACATAGTCTCCACTTCCGTGAACTGGCTCCCCCTCTGTGTGCCTCATCTCAGGGCATTGTTGTCTCTCTAGTCTCCCAAACTAAAAATACTGAGGCTGTCTCCAGTGGCTTCCCTTCTTTTCATCTCCACATCCTGGAACTGTTCCCTAGCCACCCCCCCCCATCACGCCTCATGCCCACAGTCAGTGCCCAGGTCTTACCTTGGACACCTTTCACTTGGATCATCTACAGCCCGCCTCCCCGCCCAGCCCAGCCTCCTGCCACCCCCGGTGGTCTTCTCCAACCCACATCTGACAGGTCAGCCCCATTTCTGCTCACTGCTCACTGCACCACGCAGGGCTGCCCAGACCTGTCCAATGCGGCCCCTGACAGGTGCCTGCCGTGCTCCTCCAGGACCCACCCAGGACTGCCCAAATGCCCCTTTGTGCCTTTGCTTTTCCCAAAAACATGCAGGATAGCCCACCCAGGACTCACCTCACTCGCCCTTCCAGCCCTGGCTCCCACATCACTTCTTGGGCACTACTTTGTTCCCTCTGCGCCTCACTCACTCCTTTATCCATCAGCAAGTGTGCTCTAAATGCCTTCTGAGTCAGACAGCTCTCGTGGCCTGGGAATTCACAAATAAACTGCACCCATTGCCCTGGTTGGTAATTGGTTGTGAGACTCCTCTAAGACCTTGACCTTCATCACTCCAAAGGGGGTCAGTATACTCACTCCCTAGGCACCTGATAGGTCAACGCAGATCCACAGATCTGAAGGGTTGAGGAGCTTGATTGTAGACTGAGCATTAGATGCTATTAAGGGATCATCTTCATTTCCTTAGGAGTGATAATGTCACTGTGCTTATTATGTATGAGAATGTCCTTGTTTTTTTCAGAGACACAACTCGAAGGATTTAATGTGAAGGGGTTCAAATAAAAATATAGATAAATTATAAGGAAATATGTCAAAATGTTAACTGTGGGTGAAGCCAGGGGCTGAGTATAAGGTGCTCATTGTACTGGTTCTTTCCATATGTCTCTATATTTGTATTTCTTCACAATAAAAAGTTTATAGGTGAGTTGATTTGACTTGATTGGACCTGGTTTCTTATCTATCAAATCGGAGGTGTCTGTGGAGCTAATGATCCTTGTAAGGCCAGTTCCTGCACTTCGGCTCTGGGCTGGGCAGCGCTCAGCAGGCAGAGTCTGTCTGTTCCTGTGAGCCACGCCCACCAACAGGCAGACCTCAGGGGTCCCATGGTAAGTGATCCTGGCGGTGCAAAGCCAAGTTGAGTCAGGAGAGGCAGCGCAGTCTGCAGTCAGCAGTTACTCACTTGACCATGGGCATGAATGTCCTAGCAGTCTCTATCCCAGAAAGTTTACGTGCCTCACAGGGCGGGAATTACGGGACTGTTGCAGCCTCAACAGGCTCTGCTTCAATTCTGTGATGAGGAGCTCCCCTGCAGCCCTTAAGGCTCCCCACCTTCAAGGTCTGAAACAGCCTAGCTGCATCTTCTTGCTACGAAACCTATGCAAACAGGTGTGGCTAGACATTCCCCTCAGTCCCCCTCCGTTTGCTGTTCCTTCCTTACTCTAAGAAGGTCCCTTACCTGTAGCTCAAAGACTGTTCATGAAGTCCAAAGGTTCCTTTACCTCCTCCATTCTGAACGCCCTTCTCACTGTCCCCAAATGCTCAGGTAGTCGCGAAGGCAACCCACCAGGAAGGAGGCCCAGGCACCTCGGAACCTAAGGGATGCGTGTCCCAGTGTCTGCGGCAACTTCCTCCTTTCTCGAGGAGCCAGCTGGGTGGCCGCTTGCAGCAGGACATGGGGGTGGCGGATCTCCAGCCCGGGGGCAACTGGCATACACAGCCTGCGCCTCACTCCCCCACTGGGTGGCCTGGGTATAAAATCTATACGTCTGTCTTTCCACAGCCAAAGCGATGCTACCAGGATTGGCGATGTCACCAATTACCCCAATCCCCAGAATTGCACAGCACACATTGGTTAACGAGTGACCACAAGAACCCCGCGGAGCCTCTGAGGTTCAGAGGTCCTCAGTCCCCCCCTGCTGCCAGTGGCCGGCAGGGGCGCGCACCCCGGGCTCCGGGCTCCTGCGGTGCTAGCCTGGCACCGCCGCAGGCTTCCGGTGCGCGAAGCCGCGATCTTGGGTGGCAGCCAGCCAATCGCCAAGGCCAAGTCCTCGCCTTCGGTCAGGCCGGCGCGGGGCGGGCAGGCTGGGGCGGGGCGGGCGACGCAGCTTTTAAGAGGCTGCGCGGGCTGGAGAGGCGGCACGCCAGGCCTGCGAGGGGACCCGCGCCATGGAGACCGCCTGGGACTACGCAGGAGCCCTCCTCAGGTGAGTGCGGCGCTCTTGGTCCCCGGCGTTCCCGTGCGTCCGTCGTCCCTGAGCACCCGAGTCCCCTGCGCCCCACGCCCCCACGCTCCCTATCCGCCTCTCGTCCCCCGCGCCCGCGGCCCGGACCGGCGCACACAGCCCGCTGCCCCGCTGGCGCCCGCGCCGCCGTCCAGCGCCGCAGACCGAGCCGAGTCGCCCCGCGTCTTCCCTCCTCCTCCTCCTCCTGGCGTAGGTGCCCGGTGTGGCGCTCCCGAGCTGCGCGGGCGTCTGGGGAACAGGTGACAGTGGTGAGTGCAGGAGCGGCCTCCTGTGCTGCCGCCGCTGCAGCCACAGGTGCAGAAGTGGGGCCGGGTCTCAGGAGCCCCGTGCGGCGCCTCCACGGTGCGCGAGGACGAGGGCAGCGCGGGCGTCCCGGGGAGGCGGCAGGGCCCGGGCGTAGCCTCTCGGGGCGACGCGGGCTCGGGGCTCGGGGCAGGCCGCCGGGAGTTCGCAGCCCTGGGAGGGCAGGGCCGGCCGAGCCGCGTGGTCTCGGGCGCCTGCAGCTCGCGGCTGAGCGGCGGTGTCGCCTGTTCTCCCGCCGGGTTCGTCTGCGCGCCCGGACAGGTCCCAGCCCTTTCTTGCTGGTAAAACCCTAAAGCCGTAGCGTGGCGCTAAGAGGGAGCGACGCGGCTCTGCGGCCGGCCCTCCGCGGGCGTTGCGGGCTGGCGGTCGGGCCCCCCCCCACCCCCGGCCCGCGGGCTGCCACAGATGCCCAGGTTCGGGGAAACAGCTGCCGGAACGTGAGCGCGACCTCGCTCGGCCGCGCTGAGTCCGCTGCGGGCTCCCGCGGGGCCGTCTCCGCGGCGCGGCCGCCTGGGAAGGAGACAGGCGCTCGGCGCCTGGAGCTGTCCCCGCCGCCCGGGCCGGCGGCCTCGCCTGTGCGCAGCTCCGCGGCCAGTCGTCGCGGGGCGCCGCGTGGTGGGGCGTCCAGTCGGGTCCTTGTTCTTCTGTGTTTTCCTTGCTCCTTTCCCAGAGCCGCGCGCCCCACAGCCACGGGGCGGGGGGCACTGCCACGGGGCGGGGAGGACAGCCACGGGGCGGGGGGGACTGCCACGGGGCGGGGGGACTGCCACGGGGCGGGGAGGACTGCCACGGGGCGGGGAGACTGCCACGGGGCGGGGGGGGACTGCCACGGGGTGGGGGGGGACTGCCACGGGGCGGGGGGCACTACCACGGGGCGGGGAGGACTGCCACGGGGCGGGGGGAGGACTGCCACGGGACGGGGGGGACTGCCACGGGGCGAGGGGACTGCCACGGGGCGGGGGGGGACTGCCACGGGGTCGGGGGGGACTGCCACGGGGCGGGGGGCACTGCCACGGGGCGGGGAGGACTGCCACGGGGCGGGGGGAGGACTGCCACGGGACGGGGAGGACAGCCACGGGGCGGGGGGGACAGCCACGGGGCGGGGAGAATTGCCACGGGGTGGGGGGGACCGCCACGGGGCGGGGGAGGACAGCCACGGGGCGGGGAGGACTGCCACAGGGCTGGGGGGACCTCCACGGGGTGCGGGGGGACCGCCACGGGGCGGGGGGGACAGCCACAGGGCGGGGGACCTCCACGGGGTGGGGGGGACCGCCACGGGGCGGGGGAGGACAGCCACGGGGTGGGGAGGGCTGCCACGGGGCGGGGAAGGATGGCCAACGGGGTTGGTGTGCCCTCTCACAGTCCCTCCAGGCGGGGAATGGTAGCCAGGTTTGGGGGCAGGGATGCAAGGGTTGAGGGGTGCTCCCTAACTCCCTGACCCCTAGTGTGCCTCTGAGCAAGAATAGGCAAAGGCAGGGAGTTCAGGCCGTGCCTGTCCTTGCATCTCACTAGAATCCAGAATGATTCTGTGTGAGGCTCCTCTAGGTCAAATGTGAGGTGATGTGAGGCGTGCAGGACCTGCTGTTGACAAATCAAAACAAAATGTCTCATCTCCTGAGACACATTCCTTCTAGCTTGGCAAGTCCCAGGAGTGAATGGACAAGTTGTTGTTGCAGTTCTTTGAAAATCTATCTGCTTCCAGACTGAGCTGCTGTAATTTCTTTGAATCTACCTGTTCCCAAACCAAACTCGAAGAAAATAACTTGTAATTCTTGCTAAAAGTGAAAACACCTTTTCTTCCCTGCCCCTCTCTAAAACCGGGTCCAAGCTAAGGAGCCAGTGGGTGGTGCTAACACGTTTGCAGTCATGGCCTTGCTGGGCCCCGTCCCCTCTGAGTGTTCCTTAATTTAAACTGCCAGATATGTATGTCCTGACTCTTTGTTAGTAATTAGCTGCATTTTGCCAGGAAAGTAACTTCATTGATATGCACAATTTTATTTATTTATTTTTTGAGACAGAGTCTCACCCTGTTGCCTGAGCAAGAGTGCCGTGGCATCAGCTTAGCTCCGGCACCCTCAAACTCCTAGGCTCGCTCAAGTGATCCTTCTGCCTCAGCCTCCCAAGTAGCTGGGACTACAGGCATGCGCCACCATGCCCGGCTAATTTTATATATATATGTTTTTAGTTGGCCAAATAATGTCTTTCTATTTTTAGTAGAGACGAGGTCTCGCTCTTGCTCAGGCTAGTTTTGAACTCCTCACCTTGAGCAATCCGCCCGCTTCAGCCTCCCAGAGTGCTAGGTTTACAGGTGTGAGCCACAGCGACCGGCCAATATGCATGATTTTAAAAAGTCAAATATTTGTAAGCAATTACAAAATCTTAAACCAATCATCAGTTTGTTAATCAGCTATAATGGCTAGAGGCCTTAGTCATGACAAAAGTAGGCTGAGGTCTCGTAGCAAAGTGCAGATGTCAAGATGCCCACGCGGTGTTTGTTGTCCTAGACAAAGTCTGCTTTGTTCTTGTGTCTTGTCAGTGATAACATTCATGCGAAACCCTGAAGTTGTAAAACTGATAACATATATACTTTGTGCAAAATGGCTGCTTTTTTTGTGGTTATTTAGAACATCTTTTCTTTCCTTGAACAAGGAACTTTAGATTTTGTACAGCTGCTATTTCAGTACAAATTATATCACAGTATTATTACTGACATTAATAAGGAATTAAGTTTTCTACAAGTAAATCTCCCAGCTTTCTGCTTCTTGAATCTAAATTCTTATTTTAAAAATGTTTCAAAGTGTCCAAAGACTTTTGTCTTTCAAGGTCATGTATTGAATGCCCTTACTGTGCCAAGCCTTCTGTTAGCTTGGTAAGAACCCAGCTGTGAGCTGGACAGTCCTTGTCAGGACAGGCTCATCCGCAGCCAGGTGTATTCCCACCGGTGTGTGTCACGTCCAGCAGGACACTGCAGGGAGCCGGTGGCAGGAAGCCCTGAGGAGGCTGCCCCTCGCTCCTGTACCTCCTGCAGTTGGGTCAGACCCAACCACCCTCTCCACCCTCTGGCTAAAAGTGAAAACACGTTTAGTCCCTAGGTCCCCTGTGTGCTTCTCCAGGCCTCAGTGATACTTGCCAAGCCCTGTCTTGTTTCTCGGCATGGCCCTTCTTGACCTCCCCACTTCCCTTCATAGCATTTGTTGTCACTCTTGGTTTTGATGACAGTGCTCAGTTGACTTATGTCCTGCTCCTGTGTGCCCTTTCTTCCTCTCCTGTGGGTCCTTCTTTTTCTGCCTAATGATGCCACGCGGGGTCCCTCAGCCACCACGGCACTCTGGCTGTGCCCTGGGCACTCTCTCACACAGCCTGGTACTGCTGCCACACTGGCAACACCACCAAAATATTTCTCTTCGACCAACAGCCCATGCCTGGCCCAGTTCCCTCCAACGCCTTCAGAGTAAGCGTCAGCCCTCAGGGTGGCACACACAGAAGGCTTTTCAGTGGTCCACAGGGCTTAGGCTAGTTTCACTGGAGAAAAGTTCGCGTCTGCTGCCAGCCTGTGGCTTGCTGTTAGTTCTCACATTTCTGCAAGTCGGCAGGGAAAACACACAGACCCCACCGTCCCTCACTGGCGGCAAAGCGCCGCTGCCAGCTCAGGGGTGTTCTACGAAGCCCGACTTCTCTTCTCATCCTGATTCTCTGAAACAGCCTGTTTCCTTAACCCATTTCCTTATGTGTTTCCCTCAGGTGAGTTATTTCCCTTCCTGTTTCGGCGAATTGTCTGGGCCCACTTTCGCAGTGAGGAGGGAGCAACTGTTGGCCCGTGTAGTGCAGCTTCTCAGTGGTTCTGTTTCAGGCATCGTGCTGACGGCCAGCAATATCAATTATTCTGTCCATTTGGGTCAGAAGTGGGTTGGATTAATACATAGCCCTTTGTCCATGTGGCCCTGTTGTTCCTTTAGCTGGAGCAGAGTGAGCACTCATACAGTATTTGTTAGATAGGCTGGTGCGCATGGAATGTCATATAACCCTTTTATGTGTTGCATATAAGACAGTCTTTATTTCATAGAATTTGGCCCAGCAAGCCACTTGTCCTGCTCCTTGATGACACTGGCAGGGTTTGACTTTCATGCCTTCAGGGGTGTTTCATGTGTGCCCCATCAGCCTTTTCTCCAGCAGTGATCCTGCTCTTGGTTAGGAAATGTGACAGGTAAGAACAATAAATTGTGTGCCCTTTTGTTTTTATAAATCCACGATGGCTATCTTGAGGGCAGGCAATGGCAGGAAGCACTGGAGATGGTTGCCAGGTTCTCCCTGTCAGACAGGGAGGCTTGAATGAATCCTCTGTGCTGGGTCACTGGGCCACTGGTGCCATATGAGGCGTGAGCGTGTTCATCCAATGGGAAAATACGGGGCCACGACTAACCAGGTCAAAGCTGTGCCTTTGGCCAGGAGGGGCTGGACCTAACGTCTGAAGACAGTGGACTGTGTTCTCTTGTTTCTGGTTCTGGCCCAGCCTGTCTTTACTCAGCAAATGGGTGGTATGCCGCGTCTGGGAAGGGTAGAAAATGCACAAGTAGGCTCTGGCCTCAGCAAGCTCAGGTTCTAGAAGCCTCGTGCACGCTGCCATGACTTCCTGCTCTGGTGGGGGCAAGGGGCTCTGG